CATTGTCTCTAAAAATGCAAAGTTTAGAGTCACTATTCAAAAATATATTAGAATGGTCTTTAATCATTCTTCTTTTATTAAATATTATAAATATTGTAGTAGATTACCCACTGTTATGAAAAGTTCTACTAATCAGTCTCGTACATGAATTTTTGTGAAGTGTTATAAATATGTTAGTGGTTTGCATTTACAACGTCATTTGTCATGAAAAACTCATTTTTAAGTGCCCCTTTAAGAAAAGGTTTTTTTTTTAAAAAAAGGATAATCTCTCAGAATGGTTAAATAACTTGGAAATTTATTGAGATTCTGACATGAAAAAGGAGATATTTAGGAAAAAACCTAAAGGAACACATATTGCAAGGTAAAGTACTATCAAGTAGCTAAAATCCTTGAGCTTCTGTGTAAATAAAAGAAAAAAGAGAGAATCAGGTGACCAGAAAATATAAGCATTCTCAAAGAATAACCACACCCTAGCTTGAGGATCCAAGAGTCACAGGGAAGGGCACACATCAGAAGCCGAGGCACAAGAGGTGAACTTGTAAGAACCTACATGGCCAAGTGGCTTCTGTCCCTCCTGCTGCTTACGATTTCATTCCATTCCTCTACTCAGTTTCCAGACTTACCAATGCCAGAGACTTCTTCCATGATCCTTTAACGCAGCCCTCACCTCTGCAAAGTTTTTCCTAGTCCAATGCTGACCCAGGGCAGGGACTTCCAGGCAAGAGTATATAGAAAAAGTTTGAGGGCTGAGGGGGAAATACAAAAGATAAATTCTGTTTTTCCTTCTCCTTCTGTGTCTGCAGAACAATAACTTCTTTAATCAATAACTTCTTTAAAAAACACTTCCACTTTTTCTCCCTTATAATTTGTGTCCTGCTTCTAATATTGTACCTTGTCCTATTTATTCATTTCTTTTTATCCATTCATTGAAACATTCCTATTTTATGGTAGCACTTGCTATTATACAATGGGGAGAGAATAGTGAGCAGAAAACAAATATGATCCCTGTCTTTGAGTAATTCTCAGCACTAAGGGGAAGGGAAACGCTTAAGTATGTAATCACCAAAAACCATTTGTAAAATTGCACAAGCACCACAAGGAGAGAAAAGTAGCTCTGAAAGCCTGTAAGGGGGAATTGGCCTGGTTAGGAAAGCCACTGAAGGCTTCCCTGAGGGATAGCTGAGCTGAGCTCTGAGAGAAGGACCTACACACAAAGGAAACAGCATCTGCAAAGGCCCAAAGGCAGGTGAGAGGATGGCAAATGTGAGGATAGGAAGCTGACAGAGTGAAGGTGGAACATGGGACAAACAGGCAGGTGAGTAGATGAGATGTAAAGGTCATGACAGACAGATCTGTCCAAAAACAGCACAGATATACTGAATGTGTGTGTATGCCAGAGTGGAGTAATTAGAGATTAGCAGTTCGAAAAGATTCATATGCCTACCGTGTGGAAAACAGATTGGAAGAGGCCAGGCTAGTTAGGAAGTGAGAGATGGTGGGGTTGGAAATGAAATGGACAGACTGGAAAGCTGTTTAGGGAGTAAAGTGCATGGGACTTGGTTGTGAACCGGATATAGGAAATACGTCTGAGAAGGAGAGGTTACGAATGATTCCTAGGTTTCTGCTTTGCAGAATGGGAAATAGAGAACTCAAGAATCAAGCTTGGGAGACAGAGAAAGTTACAAGTTTCAGTCATGTAGAGTTTGGAATGCCTTGGAAACATTCCACAGAAAATATCAAGTAGATAATTGGAAACAAGAGACTACAACTCAGAGGATAGATGAGTGTATGTTAAGTAATCAGGGATGAGATTGGGGTAAGGGTTCTTTTCTGTAAAGAGTCTAAGATATAAATGGAGAAGGCAGTGAGTTACAGGAGGAAAACTTTCCTAGCCGTGATTTTACATTCTGTTGTGGTTCAGGGAATGAAAACAGATACTGTTTGAGGGGAACAAATGTAGCTTATAGGTAGGGAAGCAATGAATTTGCCCCTGAGAGTCTGTCACAGGTGACGACTGTTCTTGCTTCCTAGTGGGAGCTACTGTGCTCTGGAAAAGGCTTCTAAATTATGGGGAGCTTTTATTGTCCGTCACTGCATAGGTGTGTCTTCAGGCTTTTTCTCTATTAAAGATGTTGTTTTCTTGGCTGACTCAGGTATGGCACTTTTTTTTATGTGATGTATTCTCAGTTCTCAAAAGCAACTTTTAGAAAATAGTCGTAATAGACATTGGCAATTCTGTGGTCAGAGGTTTGTTACTCTTGGAATCAGAGATTCACAAAGGATCCATGGAACCTGCGTAAATGTGGAATCACAAACCATGAAGGGAGTAGACCTCAGGGTAAGATGCTCCAGTGAATTGAGATTGAGAAATTCTGTGACTACTGATAAGGTCAGCAGTGCCTTTTTGGTGGCACCAGGCTGCAGGAATGCCCAGTGATTAAGAAAGGCAGTGGCCTAGACCCCAGACCCCAAGAGGGGCCCAAGGACTGGCAGTGTCTGCATCAGAAAGGCAGAAACCCATCTTTTTCCCCCAGCCTAACAAATAGGAACCTGCCCTTGGTGATTCTTAAGCATGTAAAGTTTCAGAAGCTCTGATCAAGAAATTTGGTGACTTTGAGTAAGAGACAGGTCAGGATAAAAGCCAGAGGAGAAGCAATATTAGAAATGGAAATGCAAGAAAGATGCCAAGGCTCAACAAAACTGATAAACACAAGAAAACTAGTATTCTTCCTTAGTTGAAAATATAGGAAAGTGGGATGGAGGAGGATACAAGAGCAGCAGCAGAAAACTTGATGGACAGATGACTCACTTCTCCAGAATAAAACTGGTGGCAAGGATTGAAGAGGAGACCAACAATACTCAGTTTAGAAACTCTTTTCTTCAACATGCAGGGGTCTGGTTTAAACTTACTTAAACTGACACTTACTTTTGGTTCATTTTGCATTTTTCCTGTCACTTTTTAAAACAGGTATACATCAATGTATAAAAATATTAAATATTCTAATGATGATTTACAGTAAGACTTGTATTTCTGCGAGTAGCTTGATGAGTGTAAGTGGAGACATGAACTTCACTAGGGCCGCCATCCTGTAAGTTGCTAACACTATGAAATTAAATGTCAGATTGCAAAAATCTGTAAAAACCTGCCAAAAAATGTAATCTTTACCTACAGTTTTTATGTCTACAAAGTTTGCTGAATCAATAAAATGACCTGAAAAGTTCGTCTTATCAGACTCATTAGTGATTCACTCCACTCATTTTCTGATGATCATTTATCATGAAATATAGAATCTTCAGAATGAATGGGGGAAATACAAAATCTGACAGGCTTGCTTCTTACATATATATACTAAGTATTTGATTTATAAGACACAAATGAATAAACTACTAAGGTCTGTCATATTTTCGTAGTTGCTAATTTATTCAACCTCTGCTCAATATTGATCCTGACAAGCAGAATAGCCCAAAGATAAATTTATTCATTCCACAGTTTAGTCAGGAACAAGCCAAAAATTATAGATTTTCCCAGGCAGATGATGACAGGCAGTCAAAGGGATGACAAATGACTGTCTTTAGCTTTAGTAAGGACAGTTGGGCCAGACGTTTCCAATAAAGATTGGAGCATGCTGGTCAAATACAGGTTCATCAGTGGTCATCATTAATCGTGGAAAGAGCACTGCTGTACCGAAGATGTCCACACAGGAGCTTAGGCACCAGCCCCGCTGAAGAAACAGAATTGGCTTTTCAGTATTTTGCAGCACTCCTCTAAGTGATAGCATGACATGATCATTTATCAAACAGAGACTGTCCAGAAGTGTCTGCTCCCCTTAGTAACTTATTGAAGGGCAGGAAAGTGAAAGCATTTTATTAAAGACAGGAAGGCAATGAACAACCAGAGCGTATCCAAAGGGTAATCGTATTTCAGCGCAGGATTAGTTTAGTCTTAAGCAAACATACACTGGAGGGACTATGTTGTGGGTCATTTATCAAGTGAAGAATAGTTAACAAAACTCTAAACATTCTTTTTATCTCTATCAACTTAAAGTTCTATTATTGTTATTATTTAACTTTTGGAGGACAGGTATTATAATTCAATACTTACAAAAATAAAATGCAAAATCCTTTCCTTACGGGGTTTAAGAGTAATAAAAATACAGTGTAACTCACATAAAATGGTTGTATTAACTGCTGTTAAATGTTGTGGGGAGGGCAAACTCTAAGGCTGAGGGTTGAAGTTACAATCTGTGACTAGAGCTTTCATAGAAAAAGTAAGCTACTTCCTTGTCAGTAGATCAAAAGTTTCTTCTTCCTTAAACTTTTGCTGTGTTGAACAACATTAAGAGAAATGGAATTAGGTGAGAAGTAGCAGGGAAGGCACACAGTGAGAGAACTAACACATTTGTGATTTACCTTCTTTGTTCCTGGTATTTTAGATGCCAAGGCAATTAATCTTAATAATTATCCTCATGTTATAAATTGATGCATGACAAAGGCTTGCCTAAGGTCACACAGTAAGCAACAGTGCCTGGAAATTTAGGATTGCCTTTTAAAAATCCCTATATTTTCACATAGTGATTTTTCCCCTCTTATTTTCCGCTTTGATAGTTTTCTGCATTCTTTACAAATAAAAGGCAACAATATATATTCTGTGTAATGCCAACAGACTGTTTACTTACCACTGTTCACTTCAATTGCCTTAAAGTGCAAACTGCTATAAATTCCACTAAACAGGGCAACTTCTGCAGAAAAAGTGTTTTCTGAGCTTCAGGTTAGGTCCATTTAAGGGAGGCATGACCAAGAACAGCCAGACCCCGTCAGGATCTCACTTTTTGCTTCCTTTTTAGCCTCTTCTACTACTAGTAAAAACCAGGTATGGATCATCTAGGAAACTGGCACAGAACTAGAACTCTGTGAAAAGCAATAAAAATATTTAACTGATATGCTGGAAATACTGATAATTTTGAAGTACTTATATCTTGCTTTTTCTTCTCTAATTGTAGGATTTAGAGTTTTTACTGAACAAGCTGACAAAGCTCTGGAAAATGGATCTCAATGGAAATCCTGTTTGTCTCAAACCAAAATACAGGGACAGACTGATACTGGTGTCCAAATCACTGGGTATATGCTTTCTATTAGTATAATTTTCTTAGGGAAAGGCACCTGCTGAAATGTTTAATGTATCAGCAAGCTTACAGCTATATGACATCTTGATCTTTGAAAATGATCAACTTTAAGTTCAGTATTTTAAATAACACCTAAAGTTAAAATTGAGAGACACTCTTAAAAAATTGAAAAGTATCTTTCAGAAATAATTAAAGCACCAGATAGGATGTGGCTATTACCCACAAAAACAGCTAGTCATAAATGTGTACAACTTGCTGACCTTTTGATAAACTTTCATTGGCACAAATCCTCTGATGAGCCCAAGGGACTCCTTAGCTCTTTGTTCTGTAGATAAAATTGATCAAGTTTTTATTGCTTAATGTTTGCCAAATGGTACCCTAAGAACACAGAATTACTTTTCATTTGAAAGGGAAACAGCCTGGGGAAAATCTTTTATGAAGTATTTACTACTAATAATATTCCTGAACATACACTGTAATAGAAAAATGTACAAAAAGTACTCAGTGGTGACGAAATACATGGCATCAAAGAGGAAGAGCAGTGCTCCCAAAGGAGCCTCACGACAGTTCCTGTATCAGAGCCACTGTGACATACTGTACTTGGGTATGAAAATTAATGCATGCTGGGCAAGTGGTATATGCTTGTAATCCCAACTATTCAGAAAGCAAGGGGACCACAGGTTTGAGGCCAACCTGGGCAATTTAGCAAGACCCTGTCCAAAATAAAAAATAAAAAGAATGGGGTTGTAGCTCAGTGTGAAGCCTTGGCTCAATCCCCAGTACCACACACACACACACACACACACACCCTAATAATAACAAAATCACTTCAAAACTCACAGCTGTAGTAAACTTTGATTAATTATACTGCTAATGCAGGGGTCCTCAGGAAGTAAGAAGGAAAGCATATCAGAAAAATGCAAGACACTTTTCAAAATATATGTGCAAGGACTACACCCGGGCTGTGAGGGTAAGAAACAGTGAATATGCTGGGAGAACAGTCCTGTATATTTCTTTGAAACTCTACAAATGATTCTACTATACATCCCCCATCCCATCCTGTCATCCCCTCCCTTCTCTGCCCACTACACACAACTTTATTAGTCCACTTTCCTCAGCAAGCAGAGTTAACATAATTAATGTTTGATGATTAAGGAACTCCCAATGATTACAAGATCATTTCTACAAGTTTTTCTCATTAACAACACTGTAGGTAAGACTATAAAAGATGTGGAAAGCTGGGTGTGGTGGTGCACACCTGCAATTCCAGCTACCTGGGAGACTGAGGCAGGAGGATTGCAATTTGGAGCCCAGCTTGGGACGTTAACATGAAAAAGACATTGGTGTAAAAGATTTGGGTTTGTCAATCCTTAGAGAGACATTGTCTAAAAATAGGTATTTTTTAAAGGGCTGGGGATATAGCTCAGTGATAGAGTGCTTACCTACCATGGCACTGGATTAAATCTCCAGTACCAGAAAAAAAAAGTGGAGATAGCTTTGCTGATTACTAAATAAAGAGGATTTATTCAAAGTTTATTTTGGATAAATCTTTTCTATAATATAGCTTATGATTTAAAAATTAATATATATTTCCTGCAAAAATACAAAGAAAAGAAATATCATTCAAAGTGCTACCATAAATCTGCTATAAATATTTTAGTATACATTCTTCCAGTTTTTTCCATGCACATATACAAATATGACAAATCCGTTTTGAGTTTAGCTTTTCTTATTCTCATGCTTTTCTTTCTACTAAATGTAAAACCCTAAAACATAAGGTTACTTGAGGGCCTGGTCTGCTGTATCCCACCAAGGCCTCACGGGGAGCCATTTCGTGTTTTGTAAGTTATCCAGTCCTCACCAATTAGAACAAGCCTCATATCTGGCTTAGTTGGCATAAACAGGAGCAAATCTCATGTTCAGACCAGCTCATTAAATAATACAATTTTAATTTTTAAAAATATTTATTTATATTTTGGTACCAAGAATCAAACTCAGGACCTCACAATTGCCAGGCAGATGCTGTACCACTGAGCTATATCCCTAACCCCTAATTTTTAAATTTTTTTTTTTTTGAGAAAGAGTCTTGCTATGTAGTTTAGGCGGGCCTAACTTGTCAAGTTGCCCAGGCTGATCTCAAACTTGCCATCCTCCTGCCTCAGCTGCTTGAGTAGCTGGGATTACAGGCATGCATCACTATGCCAAACTCATTCTTTATCTTTATAACAGAGGTTTACAGTATATACTGATTACACATATGCCATCTAAAGATAGGCTAACAAGTTATACAATTATTAATGAAAGCAAACCTGAAAAGACATCGATAAATACAATTGAGAAAACTGAGCGTAAAAGAATGATCTTTAATATAATGCTAAAATTACTAACATGTATCATGACAAAAGGTTTAGTTAATTTTTCAAATTGTAGTTTGGAAATTTCTAACTATTCAGTTAAGAAAAGCACATGAGACAAGATATGAAGACAATTTTATACTTCTAGAAGCTATGGTTCTAGTTTAAACAGTAGTCCACTCCTTATCTGTGGTTTGCTTTCCATATTTTTAATTATCCCAGGCTGACCCTGAACTCATAGCAGTCCTTCTGCCTCAGTTTCTCGAGTTCTGGGATTACAGGTATGTACCACTAAGCTGGCTACAAAATTATTATAAGGAGCTCAATTTTTAAAACTTTTTAAAAATGAAATTGTAAAGTTATCTGAAATTACACCTCATAGAACCAAAAGGCCAATTCTGTACGTTGTTCCTATTACAGCCTATGTCCGAGGACATAAGAATTATTCTTATATGTACTTTACAAGTATCATATTACAGATATAAAACTTGTCATTTATTTTTAACAAAAATATACTTTTCCTAAGAATAGTAATCATATTATTTAAGCCAATACAAAATACTTCACTTTGAGTATATTTTTTATTTTACAAATAATAGTATAGCACAGGGGATGTAGTTCAGTGACATAAGCGCTTGCCTGGCAAGCCTGAGGTCATGAGTTTGATTCCCGGTACCAAAAATAATAATAATAATAATAATAATAATAATAATAATAATAGTATAGTTTATGTACACTATATGGAAAAGGGACCATATATCAAATTGTTTGCATTGGTTATCTTTGGCAGTGATAAAAAAAAAAAGAGGTTTGTGGATAATTACAGAACCTTTTCATGCTTTTTTTATTATGGATCAGTTGTAAATAATCACATATTCTTTTTGAAATAAAAAAAATCTAAAAATAAATATAAACCCTACAAAATATGTAAGCTATACATAAGGTACTTTTAAAAGAAATTTATTTCACTGATTGTGCAATTTAAGTTCAATGTGCCCTAAACAGAAGTACATATCACATATATATGTATTTTTAAAACATACGTATTTTTCTCCAGAATCTCTTGATGGAAAAGAAATAAAAAATGTGGAAAGACAATTCCTAATAAACTGGAAAGCATCCAAAGATGCCAAAAAAATCAGCAAGAAAAAGAGCAGTAAAAATGAAGATGCAAGCAACTCTTAGATAAGAAGTCCACCGTCACACTGAGTTTCTGACCTCTGTTGAAAAGAAAATTTGAGCAATAAAAAAAAATTGTGATGAAATAAGGTTTTTTGTTGAAAACTGTTTTAAGACTTTTTTTAAAAAAAACTTAGTTGTGAATGAAGATAAATGCAATTACTAATAAATTTCATTTATTATAAAAATGTTAGCTGCTATGAACAAAACCTGTCTTTAGTTGGTAGTAGGTATGACTATCTGCCATCTAAATATAGAGCCATGATATGGGAAAAATACGTAATTTTATTCTAGTGGAAATCCACAATGTGAATTATGTAAATGATAAAAACACACTCAAACAAACGGTGAAACTTAAGTTACTAGTATATTTATTCAGCAATAGTATAATAATCAAAATGGAAAATGAAAATGTACCACAAAAATGTTTCATCAGGATATACAATAAAAATGTATCACAGCCAGATAACATGATCCTTTACATTAAAAAAGTTCCACCAAAAACTCCCAGAATTAATAACCAAATTCAGCAAGGTAACAGGATACAGAATCCAAACATAAACATCAATAGCATTCCTGTTCACCAATAATGAGCCCACCAAGGAGGAAATTATAAAAAAACCATTCATAATAGCATCAAGAAAAATTAAACACCTAATCAAGGAAGCTTTCAATTCTACAGTAAAAACCACAGTACTAAGAAAAAGGAAGTCAAAGAGGGCATCCAAAAATGGAAAGATACCCCTGTTCCTGGATAGGTAGACCCAGTAGTGTCAAAATGATCATACTTCCAAAACTGATATATAGATTTCAAAGCAAAATACCAACAACATTCCTCATGGAGCTAGAAAAAACAATCCTAAAATTCATATGGAACCAGAAGTGACCCAGAATAGCAAGCACTCCTGGGCTACAAGAGCAAGGCAGGAGGTATTACAATCCCATACTTCAAGTTGTATTACAAACTTACAGTGATAAAAACAGTATGGTACTGGCACAAAAATGAGATGTGAATCAGTCAGACAGAATAAAGGATGCAGACACAACCACAGGCCATCTGATTCAGGCCATTCAGTCATCTGATCTTTGACAAAAGGGCCAAAAATATGCTGGGGGAAAAAGCCTGCTCAGTAAATGGTGTTGGGAAACTGGTTCTGCGCATGCAGAAGATTGACCCTAGATCCATATCTCTGACTATCTACTAAACTAAAATCCAAATGAGTCAGAGATCTAAATAATAAAACAGAAACACTCAACCTGCTGGAAGATAAAATAGGCAAAACTTTTAAAGACAAGGACTTTCTGAACAGAACCTCAATTGCACAAGAAATAACAACAAATATCAACAAATGAGATTATATCAAATTAAAAAGCTTCTGCAGAGCAGAGGAAACAAACAATACAGTGAAGAGACAACCTACAGAATAGGGAAAAAATTTTGCCATCTATACCTCTGACAGCGGACTAATATCTGGGAGTATCCTAGAAATGACTCTTCACAAATTTGGTGGTCCAAAACATTGGAATGAGCCTCTATCTTCATCACATGATAATGTTTGAATGCTGATATTCTTGTTTCATAGCTGCCTGTAGCAGAAGATGAGGAATTAGAATATAAAGAAGTCAAAAAATTAGACACCCCCGAAATAGGAGACCAATAAGAAATGGACAACTGAAATTAATAGGCACTTCTGAGAAATATGAATAGTCAGTAAACACATGAAAAAATGTGCAACATAGCTGGCCAAAGTAAAAGGACTCTGAGAGTCTATCTTATTCCAGAAAGAAGGCTATCATCAAGAAATCAAATAATACCAAAGTCTGGCAAAGCTGCAGGGGAAATCCTTCTACACTGTTGGTGGGAATATATAACCACTATGGAAATTAGAGTGGAGATTCCTCATAACACTAAAAATAGAAATTCCATTTGACACAGCTATCCTCCTTCCAAGTATCTTCCCAAAAGAGTTAAAGACAGTGATAAATGCATACTCATGTTTCTACAGCACAACTCATAATAGCTAAATCTTGGAAGCAGCCTAAATGTTCACTGATGGATGGATGGCTGAAGAAAACGTGGTCTTTATGTACAACTCTGCCTTGAAGAAAAGGATAAATATAAGTTATTTGCAGGAAAATGAATGCACCTTGTTAAATGAAATAAATCAGACAAACTTAAATATCCCATGGTTTCTCTTTTATGAAAAACCCCCAAAATAAGTAAAGAACAAAACAAAATTAGGGACAAGGACCAAGAGATGGAGAAGAGAAGGGAAGGAGATATAAAAAGAATTACAATGCATTATCTATATATATCAACTCTCCACAATGCATGTAATCATTGTTTACTGCAAACGTGTGCTAATAAAGATTTTTAAAATGTACGACAACCATATCTGACCTGTACTCTGTGGGCTGTCACTCCTGTTATGCACATACCTCTAAACCTGAATATTTGGACTATAATTTTCCTAAGATTGTGTTGCAAAGGGCACACCAACCTCCCTTGCCCAACTAATCAACTAAATGTAACTAAGTGTAATGTGTGATCATTACCTTTATCATGTTAGGGAATATCTTAGAAATAACTCTTCACAAATTTTGCACTCCAAATCAATGGGATGAGACTCTTCTTTCCTTCCATGACAGTATTTGAATGCTGATATTCTTGTTCCATAGCTATCGCAGCAAATGGAGGATTAGAAAACGGGTTAGGCCAGGGGAAAGGGAAAAAGAAATTGGAACCGTGTATGAGGCTTTATACATGGATAGCATATCCTAGGAGTTCTGTCACTGTAGGCAAAGAGGTAAAGGTGAGGATGAACAAGGTGGATAGGAATGTAGCTCTGGTGATCTTGCCATATCAAGTCCACTGAATATTCACTGTCAAAAATAATTTAGAAAAATGGGACATTATACCCATGAATGATACTGTGTTGGCAATGTGAATTTCTCTTGGTCTAAAACTTGTGATACAGAACACATTTCTCTTCTATTTATCTTCCCATTGGCTGGCTGTGAAGGATAGAACTAGATCCAGGGTAAGATTTCAGTATTTTACATATTTTCTGTATGACACCAAAGATGCTAAAGCAGCTTATAAATACTGAAGTACCCAGAGAATTCAATGTCAGCTGTCACCCAAAAAGGAGACTATTCTAACATAATGTAGGCTCTTTAATCTTAGCAGATTTCAAAATTTCTTCCAGATTCAGAGATTAGATAAATTAATTTTAATTTCACCAATGAAATTTGACAAAATAATTATAATATGTCCCAATTTTATAATTCTTTAAAACTAGTCATTTAATTTTCTCAAAACAAACTTTATTGATCTCTTTATAATCTAGTCTGAAATGTAACTATTAAAAACAAATTTTAGAGTCATACAGATACACTTACAACAACGTGAAAAGGAAATTAGGGAAATTATCCCATTTGTAACAGTACCAAAAATAATAAAATATTCAGGAATAAATTTAATTAGGAAGGTGAGAGACTTGTACTCTGAAACTATAAAGTAGTGATAAAGGAAATTAGACACAAAGCTAAGAGTGGTCGTGCATGCCTATAATCCTCAAGTTCGGGAGGCTGAGACAGGAGAATCACTGTGAGTTCCAGGCCAGCCTGGGCTATAGACACTGTCTCAAAAAAAAAAAAAAAAAAAAAAAAAAAAAGAAAAAGAAAGATAGAAATTAGACACAAATGAAAAGACATCCCATGTCCATGAATTGTTAAAATTTTCATATGACTGACTTATCAAAACCTCAGTAGCAATTTTTACAGAAATTTTTAAAAATCTAAATTCATATGAAACCACAAAAGATCATCAGTAGCCAAGTCAATCTTGAGAAATAAGAAAGCTAGAGATATCACATTCACTGACTTCAAAATATAGTTATAATAATCAAAACAGTACAAAACGGACATAAGACAGACATAGAGAGCAGTGGAGAATAGAGAGCTCAGAAATAATCCACATATATGGAGTCAAGTGATATTAACAGTTGTGCCAAGAATATACAATAGGGAAGGGATTGTCTTTATTTTCAGTAAGAAAAACTGTATACCCACACATGAGATAAATGAAACTAGATTCTTAAACTATATTTAAAAATCAACTCAAAATGGCTAAAAGATGTAAATACCTGAAACCACTCAACTCCTACAAAAGACCATTAAGGACAAGCTCCACGACATTCATCTTAGCAATGATTTCATGGTTATGACACTAAAAGCACAGGCAACAAAAGTAAGTAAGTGGTATTGCATCAAACCAAAAAAGCTTCAACAAAGGAAACAACAGAGTAAAACTGATAGAATGGAAGAAATATCTGCAAACCATACAGCTGATAGAAGTTAATCTCCAAAATACATGGAACATCTCCAACTCAACTCAATAGCAATGAACACTAATAACCTAATTAAAACACCGATGAAGGACTTGAGTAGACATTTCTCCAATGAGCACATAAAGATGGACAGGTATATGGAAAAATGCTCAATATTACTAGTCATCAAGAAATGCAAATCTAAACTACAGTGAATTTCACCTCACACGTGTCAGGATGGCTATTATAAATAAAAGGGGTGGTGGGTGTACTGGAGATGTACCTCAGTGGTAGAGTGTTTTGCTAGCATATGCAACATTCCTCCAGGAATGAACACACACATACACACACACATGCACACACACAGTGTTGGCAAGGATGTGGAGAAAGTAGAACTTCTGTACACTCTTAATGGGAATGCAAAATGGTGCAGCCACTAAAGAAAACAGAATGGAGGCTCCTCAATAAGTTAAAAATAGGCCAGGTTTTGTAGCACACCCTTAATCCTAGATTCTCAGGAGGCTGAGGCAGGAGTGTCACAAATTGGAGGCAAGCATGGGCAACTTGGGGAGACCCTGTATCAAAATTTAAAAATGAAATTAAAAGGGATAGGGATGTAGCTCAGTGTCAAAGTGCTTTGCACGGCCTTCACAAGGCTCTGTGTTTAAGCCCCAGTATTAAAAAAAAAAAAGTTAAAAATAGGACTATTGTATGATCTAGCAATCTCACTTTTAAGTTTGAAAAAGAAGAGAAATCAGGATCTTCAAGAGATATTCCACCTTTGGTCATGGCAGCGCTATATCCCTGGACAGATGAATGAATAAAGAAAATGGAGTATATAGATAAAATGGAACACAGAACATTCTTCAGCCTTTAAAAAAAGAAAATTCTACAATACGCTATTAATGTAGATGAATCTTTCTGACATCTTTAGGCTAGTGAGGCCACTCGCTTCATATCTTGCTGTAGTTGCCATTAGGATAATCAATAATTTAAAAGGGAACACCATGGGGCTTAGGAGGTGAAGAAGGGGAAGCAAGACAACAAAAGAGAGCTGGCATCTACTATGCTGAACATTTCAAATATTTATACATGTTACTGCATTTAGTCACTGTAACTTTTGGGGCAGATAATTATATCCATTTTGTAGATGAAAAAGCTGAGTTTCAGAAAGATGAACTAATTTGTCTAAGGTCACAATGTTAGCAGAGGCACAAAGAAGCAGATTTCAGCTCCATGAAGCAGATCTGGCGGTTCTTAACAACTCTAGCAGTGACTGGCAGAACTCTGGAAATAAGAACAATAATGACTGCTTCATTTAGAAATTCACTTTAGTTTAGTGGGTAGGAAAATGTGCACATATGGAAAGTTGTGATATATAAGCAATACTTTTATAGGTAAAAAGGAGAAAGAATGGGGTAATATGAAACAACTTTAAATTTAAAAAAAGTATTTAAAGAAGGTTTTATCTACTACACTGAAAAATGGACTCTAATGTCAATTAAATTAGACTAACATTTAAAGTAAAGGCTGACTAGCTGCAATAATTACTTGAGCCTTTCTCAAGAGTACTTATACCTTTGATCCGTTGTGGAACTGTTCTTCCTTGCCCCTTGCACATTTGCCCTCTTCATCCTGATGGCATAGAGCTGAGCTTCTCAGGTTTAAAGCCAATGACACTATGGATATATTTATGTAATATGCAATAATTTGATCCTTATGTATGGGCCAATAATATAGCCCATGGTCTTTACACAAAGGCTTGTATTTCTACTAAAATGAAAGGAAATGGATAAATTAAAATCTAGAGGATATATTGTGTAATTTTAAAATCTACATTATTTCATTCGGGTCTTTAGAAGAGCAAAGATGAAACTTTTAAAGGTATCTCTGTATAACCAAGTACATTTTTGGGGAATAGGAATTCCTGGCAAGACAGTGTTTTAAATCTTTGTACATCCTACTCTTTTTTTTTTCTTTTTTAATATCCAAAATGTGTTCATTGGGATGGCTTCCCATTCATGTTGATTCAGGTACTGTTAGTGCTGCTTCCTCCTGAAGGAGCATCCTTCTGTGAGCCTTGCTTCTCCTCCTGCCGGCTGGTGGAGGACAGTGGAGCAGCCAACACACAGAACTACCGTCTGTGCATGGCTGAAGACCGTGGTGATCGTATAGCATCCTGGACACTTCACGTCAATGAAACAGGAATTGGGGCTTTGCATCAGGCCCTTCTTCTTGTGTTTCCTCTTCTCCTCCTCCGGAGAATGATGAAGGAGATCTTTTGAGAGAGGCATGTTCTCGTGGGGAGGTTGTCACCGCTGGAAAGGTGTGCATCCTAATCTTATGCCCATCTCATAAGAGTTGAATATATACTTTCCCATATGGGCCTTTTTTTAAATAGAAAAGGCCATGACATTTTGTTTTGGGTATGAATTTCATCATTTATTTTACTGTGGCTCTATTTTAGCTTTATTTAATTCCATTTTATAAAATAGAATTTTAGATAATCTGATACTGTTATCTGTCATATTTACAATTTAGTTATTAGCTTCAAAGCAGAATGCTTTTAATTCTTTGTAAGCTACAGGTAACTTTGAAACAATGTATCACATAGCTCTATTTATTACCCACAGATGGTAAGCCAAAGTTAGTATTTTTCTCTGATGTACAGAGGTAACTTATAAATGGAAATCGATCTCCAGAAAGCTCCCAAGAGATAATGCTAAAATTATTAAATATATAGGGCAGGTTCTTTGCATCATTTATATGGTTTATCTTTTTTAGAGTGATGGGACATCCTTACTGTCAGCAATACAGATGAAAGCAGGTCTTCTGTCACCTACTTCTTTCTCTTCTGATCCTTCTAGCACAATAGAAAAGAAGTTTATTGTTGGTCAGTCCGAACAGTCACAAAGTTGCACTGGGAGGAGTGGTTCAGGAAGAGTTGTGAGTTAACAAACTAGATACATTCACTGAAGTAGGGCAGGGCAAGTAACTCGGGAAAGTCTCAGAAGATGCAGATATAGGCGTGTGAATGATCAGGGATGACATTAGAGGCACCAGAGACCCCAGTTGATAGATGGCCCACCCCGTGGTGAGCAGGGGGAGGAGGGAGGTGACTATAATAGGGCTTACCGGTTGCAGAAAGGAAGAGGAGCCCAGAGAATTAGATCAGTTCCTTTCTCCACTTCTCCAAACTAAAGATGCTTAACCTGTTGTCTCTAAAGGAGACTTTAGACTTTCAAAGAAGTTTATGGACCAAAAAATAGTTTAAGAATCAATATCCTGAACCTTGAGTCCATCCACAATTTAGCTCCATATAAAACAGTTCTAAATCTCCTGAGAAGAAAACTGCTTTGCTTTTTAAAAGACAATATTGTTTCCATGTATAGGTAAACCATAACTTCATTCATTCTAAAACAGATGCCTACTGTATGCCAGGAAACACAATATAAAAATTCCAGCATAATATCCTAATCTCAAAAGTCTTGAAACAAATTATGCAGGGGAATTAAATATGATATAATTACTACATAGTATGATAAATGCTGTGGGCATTATAAACTAGACCTTAATATAGACCATAAATCATTTAACTTCATTTTTCATTTCTAATGAGTACAATGATTGCTTGATTGATATTTTCAATCATATCATAATAGTCATCACAATATAATGAAGGGCAATATCGTATTTCATTGAGAAGGTGTTCAGAGCCAGAAAGCAAACTTTGGAATAGTTCTCATATTCTCAGAACTGCCTGCTGAAAGTCAAATGGGTCCATCATGAGACCCTCTTTGCAGAGTCCAATCCAAAAATGGTAACTCGGCACCTCTAGCAGAGACCACTGAAGACATCCTGTGAACAGCACTGTTATACCATCTACTCTTATTCCATGGAGAGTAGCTTAGACCTGCGGAGATGCAGGCTTGGGGTTTGCTGTAATTTACATGGAAGAGAAGGGCTACACAGGGAGCCCTAACTTTAGTCTTGCCTCATCTCCATTTCACAACAAAATGGGAACTAGGTGAAAATTTCCTTTATTGGTGATATATATATATATATATATATATATATATATATATATCGATGACCATCAAAACCACAGCCAGTTTGTCCATAGCACCCTGATAGTTTCTTAAAGATTTACACAACTGGTATCAATTCCACAACAATGTTCCTGAGACTTTTTTCTGCCAAGGATTTTGAAAAGTCTTGCTAGTATATCATCAAGGTAGAAAATAAAACAATAAAAATATACACAGCCTCAGAAAACAAAGTTGGTGAATCTTATACATTACCACATCCCCTAAATTAGATCAGTAGTGAGCTGTGGCCCATACCATAGTCTAAAGCTCATATCCCTAGGAGTATACTGACCAAACAACAAGTCACTCTACCCTCATTTGCCTAATTAAATACAAAACTAAACCCACTTTAAGTATAAACTACTCTGCACTGCCAGGTAAGCTGCCATACACAAAGCCAGCAGGAAAGAGGGACTCCTGTGAGAAGAGGACAAAAGAACATCCTGCCACTGTCAGTGAAGCTGATCGTGTGCAGTTCTGAGTTTCCAGTTTCATCCTGGGAGGAACACAGTACATAGTGTTTCCTTTTAAATGATATTATTTCCTCAGGTAATATTTTCACTCCAGTTATGTCAAAATATTATGTTGGTTTCTCAGAAGATTTAAGTCTCATTCGATAGGACCACCAGTTATGTTTCTCTTTAATAAAAGGCAACCAAACACATTATGGAATTTCATCAAGCTCTTGATATAGATTTTAAGGGTTCCCTGCTGCCAACATTTTTAGTAGTTTAACATGAAGCTAAGAGATAATGAAAATAAATCTAGATGGTCATAAAGTGGTAAAACAAAGTACCCAGGCTGGGCATGCAGCTCAGTGGCCGAGGGCTTGCCTGGCATGCACAGAGACCTGGGTTCAGTCTCCAGCACTGCAGGAAAAGAAAATGGTTGAACTTCTAAAAAAAACTGATTGAAGCAAACCTTCCCATCTTCCCCTTAATTACTTTAAGGGAGAGAATGAGCTGGCATCAGCATATATGTCCCCTATAGTCTATGTTTAACATTCAAGGTGAAGAAGCCTGCAAAGTAGGAGAAAAGAATTTAGATTACATCTTCCCGTGAGCTAAAAGCATACGCTCCATACTCCTTTAGGGTCCTACATAGTAGAAACTGTGCTTATATTCTATATAGAGCATACATCTGTCCAAAGACAGGGGAATGTTTTCTACCTCTTTAATAAATGCACACAGTCTGTGCTCATGTATATTTACACAAGCCCACTTTCCCTACAGGGAGGAAAAGTCAGACTCACTGACGTTGTTTTTGACCCTCAAACTGAACCTGATACTATCAATGTACATTTTAAATAAAGATTAGGGCAAAACTCTATTTTACTTAAAGGCTGATTCTGAACAAATACCTTTACTGTTAAATTAAATATAATAGATGTTACTAAACAAACAAAGGATATATGTTACTGCTTCTTTCTGTGTTTGTCACAGTAAGTACTTTTGACAGATGTTTCCTCTTTTTTCAAATATGCTAGGAAGTGCTTGAGCCTTAATAATTTAAAAATAGATATTAAATACATTTACATATTATATGTAAGATCCACTGAGAATAGTGTACAGCGCTGTACAATGAAAAAGGCAAATTATTACTTTAATACTCAACTGTCTTTCAAGCCCAAGCAATGTTGACAGTCAATCCATCTCTTCTGTTAATGTAAAAATAACTTTCTAGCTGAGTTAGAATGTTCTTGGTTTCGGATACCTTTAAGGAATGTGACTCTCTGGGACACATTAACTCACAGGAAATAGTCACTGAATATTATTTAACTGTTTCTGAAATGGCTAGTATCTCTTGCTAGGATATAGAAGTATTAGGTTTCTTTAAATTAAAAAGTGAACTCTAATAGTTAAAATAATTTGCCTTCACCATTGTTGTGTTTGAACAGTTGTAACAACAGACCGATGTACTCCAAAAAGAATTTTGAAAACCCAGATAAAGATGATAATTTTGGTTAAAAAAAAAACTAGGATGTTCTCATATGAACTCAATTGCAAAGTTCAAAATGTCTTTAATTTTGCTTTGCTAAAATCAACCCTAGTCTAATATTAGATGCAAAATAAACATATGCATATCACTAAAATAAGCATGTTAACATTTTTATTTGCAGTTTTCAAAGAACCTCCTTGGAATTAGGATACTCACCTGAGAAAAACAGCAACAGTGGTAAGCAACAAAGATTTTTAATGTTAGAATAGGCTAAATTTTTGTGACATCTAGCACCTTACTTTGTCAATGGCTTACTCCGTAAGTTATTATGTAAGACCTATTTCAAAAATATCATATTAATTATTTTCCATTTTTAAATGCCTATATTTTAAAAGTTGAATCATTACCCAAATAAAAATTTTAAACACTGGAGCTCTTTGAGAAAAGAGTACTTTCAGCCCCATTTCACAGATGGGAAAGTGAGGCTTAGATAAACATTCAAAGAAACCCAGTCATTCACTCCAGTAGCCAAATTCTCAACTGCTCCATTAAGGGGTCTCCAATATGTTCTCAGATATAGGCAGGAGGTACTATCAGTAAGGGAAACAGGTGAGGAGGTGGCCAAAATGAACTGGAGAGCACATGTCCACCTAAAGGTAATTGCTGCTACTCAGCTCCAGAACAATGTGGGCCGGTTCTGGTTAGACATGGTAAACTTGAGAAATTAGAGTAGTTCACAATTAAGATATCTAGGTTGCAAAATCAGCCAATTTAAAACTACTGGCTCAACTTTTATTTTTAAAACAAGTATTAGAATTGATATAAAGAAAAAATACCCTAGTCAAATTGGCTAGGAATTAGAGCAACGGGAACACTCATGCACTACGGATGGGACTCCAAAAATATGATAGCTGCTTTGGGCAAAAGTTTGAGATACTCTTACAGTTAAACATACATGTACCATACAAAGCAGTCTCATTTCTAGGTATTTTCCCAAGTGAAATGAAAAACTATACTCACAGAAACCTGTAGCTGAATGTTTATAGTGGTTCATTTGTAATGACCAAAAACTGAAGACAACCCAAAGGTGTCTCAGCTGGGAAATGGGACAGAATGCTATCCAGTAAAGAAAAGGAATGCACCACTGATATGCTTAACATGAATGAGTTTCAAAAGTATTGTGCCGGACTTAAATGCTACATACTATATAATTCTTTGTGAAAGAAGCCGGACTCAAAATGCTACATACTATATACTTCTTTTTGTATGACATTCTGACAAAGGCAAAACCATACCGAAAGAAAACAGATGAGTAGTCGCCAGGAACCGGGGGTGGGCCAAAGAGTTGACTACACCATGTCTGTACAAGGGAATCTGGAGGATGATGGAAATGTTCTGTATCTTTATTACGGTGGTGGTTACAGTTCTGCATATGTTTATCTAAACTCTCTGAACTATACTCAAAAGAGTATACTCAAAGTATATCTTAAACAATGAGGGAAATAGTTGAAAGATGAGGAAAAGTACCAATTAATCTACTGTTTTATATGCACATAAAATGTATAAAATGTTTTATATGAAACAGTATTTTTATACTGATATGTGATATGTGACGTATTTTGAATTACAAAAGACAATCTTAATTTAACAGTTAACATTACAAGTTGACTCATTTTGGAAAAATGACTTAAGAATAACTCTAAGATCAAAACTTTACTCAATGAAATAAAATCTAGTACACTCTAAAGCCATATTTTTTGAAAACTAGACAATAAAAACTCTGAAAAAAGATTTACCATGAAGTAATATTTGGACTGCTAATAAGGACTAAAACTATTTGAAGTATGCATTGAGGTAGCTGCAAAAACAGACAATACATATGAAAATGTTTTTGCAAGTTATAAAATGCAAATTTTAAACAGTGTGGCAACAAGCATAAGTGTTAGGGTAAATCTGCTGTGTTTAAAAACTCTCAGCCACTCCAAAGCTATGGGACCTTGGACAAGTCACCTAATCTGAGCTTTATTTCTTCTACTGTAAAATGTAAAATCCTCAGAATTTTTGTACAGACAAATGAGAAAATACCTCCAAAGCATTTAGTACATATGAAGTCCCAAATAAGTGACACTTTTTACTAATTATGTAATAATGGAAATGGCAGGATTTGAATTTAACTGAAAATATTGAGTCAAAGTTAGGACTTGCCTTACTTTTCTTGTTGCTCACGGTTTGTAGAGGTTTCAGTTCATAGTCAGCTGGCTCCAAGGCAGAGTGGCATGGCAGATAAGCATGGCAGAGGAGAAACAGTTCATGATAGGCAGAAGGTAGCAAAGCAACCAAGGGATGATCACAGCCCTTACGCAGGCTACTTAGGGTGAGGAACACTCCTGCCCTTAATCCTAGTGCCCTTGATCTTAGCATTGCACCATGAATCAATTCCAGCATCACACACTCTAGATCCAGATAGCTCTGAAAAAGCCCCACCTATGACTGCATGAGGCTTTGGGTGGACATCTAAACACAGCCATAACAGAACTACACAGAATAAAATCATCAGGGCACAACAAGGAAGACCACTAACAGAGTGATGAGACAACCTACAGAATGGGAAAAGATTTTTGCCAGCTACTCAGGCGAAGGGCTAATACGTAGAATATATAAAGAACTTAAAAAAAAATCAGACTTCTCAAAATTTAAAAAATGGGCATCTGAGATGAATATACACTTTTTGGATGAAGAAATACAGTCAACAAATACGTGAAAAAATGTTCGACATTGCTGGTGATCCCAAGAAATGCAAATTAAAACAACACTGAGATTCCCTCAGTCCAGAAACAATGGCTACCAATAACAAATGCTGGCAAGACTGTGGGAAGAAAGGAACCCTTCTCAGTTATTAGTAGGACTGTAAACTGATACAACCACGATGGAAATCACTATGGAGATTCCTCAAAACCTAAAGGTAGAAATTTCATTTGACCCAGCTATTCTCCTTTTGGGTTTTTTCCCAAAAAAGTTAAAAATACCACAGTGATGTATGCATACCCATGTTTATAGCAGTGCAAATCCTAATAGCTAAATCTTGGAAACAGCATATATGTCCATCAACAGATGAACGGATTTAAAAACGTGGTAACTACACACAATGGAGCACTACTCTGTTGTAAAAAATGATAAACTTAAGTCATCTGTAGGAAAATGGATGCACTTGAGACCATGATGTTAAGTGAAGCAACTCAGACACATACGTTTAAATATTGCATATTTCTCTTATATGAAACACTCAATAAGTAAATAAAGTATGAAGTAAAAGATAATAGAAAAAAGAGGGCCGGGGATATAGCTCGGTGGTGCAAGCGCCTGCCTGGCGAGTGCGAGGTCATGAGTTCAATTCCTGGTACCGAGAAAAAAAGGTATTATAATGTGCAGACAATCTATCTAAAAGTGGACCTTGAATTAGTACAATTGTCTTACATGTTACATATGTTCTTTGGCCTGTTAGTCTGGTTTTCAATCAATATATATGATAATTAACTTTACAAGTTCTTATAAATAAATGAATCTGATGCTGGAAAAATTAAAAGGGGGGGAAGGAGTGGGAAGAAAGAAACCGAAATGTATTATGTACAGTACCAATCCCCTACAGTGAATGCATCCATTATGTACTGCAAACATGTACTAATAAAAGTCCAAAAAATTATCAGAGGCTTCAGAGAGGCTGCTTAAAGTGGCAGAAGTTAGGTCAACGGAGTGACACGCGTGGTTGGTATTGTTAACACTGGTCCTTTCGCTCTCACCTGCTGGGCAACACAGCCATTGTCCAGCCACTGTTGCAGAAGAGCCTTTTCGCTATCTTTTTTGGCAATGAAGAGCCTTGTTTGCTTCATTTTTAAAGCAATTAAACAATGAGCTCCTCTCTGTCTCTCTCTCCCTTCCTCCCTCGAAATATAGGAATCTCTTTTTTGAAGGGATCTAAAAGCTTTCTGAAAACAAACAAACAAAAGATGTATATGAACCTCACCTTCTCCATAACCCAAAGTAAATGTGGAAAACGAGTAAATGCAACCTCACATGATCTGATTTTTTTAAACTTCACAGAACTAGACAGTGGCATCTTTTGAGCGCTTGTGGCTTTATGATATCTCAATATGTAAGTTCCTTAAATTCTTACTGGATTTGCTTCTTTTTAGTATCTGAAACTTTGATTTTCACGTGTGAATTCAAGGATCTTACCACTCACTGTGTACCGCTTACTGGGAAAATAAGGATGTGCTTTCTTACTCAGTAGAAGTCCTTTGGAATCAGTGGAATTGGTTGTGCTTCTTTCTAAAATGTAGATCTAATTACAAGTATTGGATGAGCACTGAGATTAAAGCCCGATGATCACTCAGACTCACTAAAACATCTAATTAATTGTGCGCTGGTGCATACACTTATAACAAGTGCTTCCTGCTTATTGCTTGGTAATGCCAATCTGGATGCCAATTTGGAAAGTTAGAAAGCTATTGGAAAATATTCAAGATCATATACCAGGGCAGTTTCCTCACTGACTTTTCATACCCCAGTACCGGGAATTGACCGCAGGGTCTCTCGTGTGCCAGCCAAGTGCTGTACTACACAACACAGCCCTCGCCCTTTATTTTAAATTTTAAAATAGGGTGTCCCTAAGTTGCCCCGGCTGGTCTACAACTTGTGATCCTCCTGCCTCAGCCTGCCTAGTAGCTGGGATTACAGGCGTCAGCCAACGCGTCAGCTTTCGGTGAGATTTTGAATTTGAAATTCCGTTTTGATTCCAAAGAGAACATGACGTCCCGTTTTGTTTCCTTAACCGTAGACCTCGTCTCAAGTACGTCCTAGTTACGCCGCTGGGAAGTACCGGGAGTCCGCGGGAACCTCCCTCGCGAAGGCGCCGGCTGCGGGACGGCGGCGCCGGGCCGGCCGCTCCCTCCC